TTCGATTACGTATCGAAGAAACACTAGATACCTACTCACTCACGAATCGAAGCGAGCACTTTATACTGACTGAGCTACCTTGACTGTTAAATTTCAACTTATAATCTATGATAGAACTCACTTACCTGCTTTATGTTCTATCAAATAGTACTCTCATGAAAGTTGAAAATCCCAGGAATATAGTAAAATTGAATTATTCATTTTTTTTTTAATTTTGATGGACGCCCATCGTTTGTAATATGTTGTAATAAGGTCTGTCTTCATTCAAGGAAGTACAAAACTGTGTAATCTTTGAGAGAACATCTGGTAACTGAAACATTAAAAATGCCCCTAAATATAAATACTCCTGCTTTGATTACAAATAAACTGAGACGCCCAATAGGAGAGTACGCTAAATTGGATTGATCACAAGTCGTCCAATTAGGTCATTCAATCGTTGTTTTCCATTTATGTGGTATTTTCTAGTGTCAAAAATAAGTGTCTATTAGAGATTAGAGGGTTTGGGTTTTTTTTGTTTTTTTTTTTATAATAATAATTCAAGTTTGAACATTCTGCCTGCATTATTTTTTTTCTAATGCATTCGTGGGATTGTTGATCAGCAGTATGATATCAAAAGGGTCAAAAGAAGAGTAAATTTTGAAGTACCCATGCCGGAGAAGCAATGTTTACCACATCAAAGATACAAAAACTCAAAAGACAACCCAGTTGTATGTTCAAAACTACTTATGTGTCTAAAATATAAAGCTGAAACAATTTCAAACTTTCTTTCCCAACCACTCTCCACTCCCCCTCTCTTTCCCCACTCGCTCCTCCTTTCCCCAATCACTCACTCCCGAATCTGTTCACACTCCCTCTGTTTATCCCCTCTCCCCCTACCATCTCACTACCTCCCTCTATCCCCTTTCCTCGATCCCCAGTCCCTCTCTACCCACTCCCTCTCTACCGCCTTTCACTCCCAACGCCCGTCACTCTCCCCACCACTATCTCCCATTCACACCTCCTTTCCCCCACAGACTTTCTCCTCACTCACTCCCCCTCTCTCTCCACACTCCCTCTCTCTCCCCCCCAACTCTATCTCTCCCCCACTCTCTCATACTCCTCCCCACACTCCCCCCTCTCTCCCCTTACAACCTCTCTCCACTCTCTCTCCACTCCCTCTCCCACTATCTCTCCCCCACTCTCTCATCCTCCTCCCCACAAATTCCCCCACTCTCCATTCTTTCTCTCTCCCCACGCTCCCCCTCCCCACTTCCTCTCTCCCCACACTCTCTCCTCTCCCTCCACTCTCTTCTCCACTCTCACCCCACTCTCTTTCCCTCACCCCACTCTCTTTCCCTCTCCCCACTCTCTCCCACTCTCTTTATTTATTTCTTGTCCGTCTGACTCAGTTACTCTATGTCCTGGTGAAATAAATTATATATATGCGTAATACATAGATGTTTCATAATTTTTACAATAGAAAATAATTGGGAAAATACTTATTCTACAGCAAAGAGAAAAATCTTATCGTTGTTTCAAAAAAAAAAATATAAAATGTTTATTCTTGATCATTTTACTTTAAAATGAATTTAGCAGAATTGTTTATTTATGCAAAAAATTAATGTCATTTAAAATTAGAAGGGCGATAACTTCACACAACATAAAATACTGCGTTGCAGTTCACAATTAGATCATTGCGTTGTTTGCGTATTTAATGAAGAAGAATTTTATATGCTAATTGAAGAACAATATTTATATGGTTACTAACATGCAAGGAAGATGGTATGTCAGCTTGAAATCCTAGTTGGATATTATTTTTTGTACCATTATGAAAAGTAGATGTCCTAAATTATCAGCATGCTGAGAGGAGGTCTATAAAATATTCTTTATTTGACCAAGTATGTAATTAGGGTTTGACTTTCACTACCCCTTTCCCTTGTATGCATTCAGTTTACTTAAATTATATATTTTTTATAACTGTTGTCCGGTTCAGACATCGTGTCGTTGCATTGAATGTGAGCCAAAATGCATTTGCATCATGACTCTCCCGTTGTTCTACGCATTACCCGGTATTTCATATTTTCTCATTGCAAAAAAATGTTCGTTTGGTGCTTTATTGAAACGCGTACCACATGTAACCTTTTCTTGGTGCATGTTAAATTCTACTCTACTAACCGATTTCCACTTTACGGTGTTAATCATTTGACCGTTGGGCCATCAGTGTGATTTGAGTAAATGTTCACCTTATAACAGGCCTTAGCCATGCTTAGCCAAGCATTCAATTCTTAGTCTGAAGGAAGAATTAAAGTTATGAAAAGGACCGGGGTGGGGTGGGGGAGGGGAGCGAACATGTTAGAAATTCGAAATTCCTTGAGAAGCCCAAAAAAATAATAATAAAGCCAGTAGACTTTATAGGACAGGAGCAAAAAATAGGGAGAACCATACTGCAGTGCATGATTTGGAGACAACCAATATCATTTACAATAAATTATTAATCCTGCGCTTAATAATATGTACGTATACGTTTTGGGGTTCCCTTTTTGGTTTTTTTTTTATTCCTCAAAGGTTTTGTTCCGAAAATGACATATGTTTCTGACAACGATAAACCAGTCCTGTAGGAATGTTATCACAAACCATTTTTAAAGACAAGTTTTAGGTCCCATATTTCTACCTTTAAATTCGTGTCCGCTTTCAACCTACCTTCACCTTTTATCAGTTTCTGGATACACCAATACATTGAATCATAAAAGTATTTTATTTTAACAAAAGAAAAGAAAATCAGAGCAAGCAAGACGTATGAAATGACCACATGGAGATGCTAATTAACTGTAATTACTACTTCAGTTTTAAAATCATGTTATATCTTTTTCCCTCTTTTAGGTTCATTCACCCTTATTTATTACATGAATGTTAATTACCCCGCTCCGAAGAAAAGAGGGTATAGTGTTTTACATTATAATGCCCCTAAAACGAGCAAAATTTAAGATCTAAGGAAATAATATTTCAGCCTTCATACATATCTATAAATTAGACGAAAAAAATTCCTCTCGTTGTGTGTATGGGGGAGACCTCCACCTCCCTTTTTTCAAATTTTTTTTGTTATAAAGTAAATATTGAAAATTTCATTAAAAGGTTGGTTGGCCAAGCCCCCATCCCCTCCAACACTTTTTGTTGCAGTATGGTCGAACCCTCCCATGTTAATGTATCCAAAATTCTTCTTGTCGAAAAGCGAATTATCATGTTGTACATGTTGTAAATGTTGAATTCACTGGTGAAGGTTAATGCGAAAGTAACAACATAACTAGTTACCATGTTGTAAATTTGGCATTTACTTCCACGTAGTAAATTTGAAATTAACAAAATGATAGAATGTTGGAACTATCCCCCCCCCCCGTCCTCATGAAATGGCTTATGTACTTTGGTCAGTACGATATATCTTACATAACTTACTTCGAAATTCATTCATGGTCATTGTCGATCATATGCGCCACTGCACTCCTGAACCATTAGCGGAAATTTCAGATTTAAACCCCTGAAGACCTTCCAGGGCTTTTCAGCGGTTGCAAAAAAATCAAGAAAACATGGAATTGGCACCCCAAAAAGGGCCCTCACAATAATGGAATTCAAGCCCCATCCCATCATAATGCACGTATTATAATGTATATGTAATTGTTTTTTAAAGAATTGATTAAATACAATGGCAAAATTTTTACCCCAATAAGGATATTATTACTATATTATTATATAAAAGAGAGCATGTTAGATATTTGAAAACAGTTCAAAAGCTCAACAAATTGCAACCGGCATGTAACATTTTATCTGACATTGTTCTGAAGCAGAAAGACATTGTTTCATCCACCACCCCACCATCCCCGCTTTCTACGGGAGTGGTTTGCAATGAGCCACTGGTATGTGAGGGGAAAACTGAGGGTTAAGCATCCCTCAACGGAATATATATATATAAAAAATATGTTGTATATTGTTAACAATTCAAAACGTTGAATCACTTGATCTCACTTCGAAGATTCCCTCGATACAAGGCCGTAACTATAGGCAAAATGTTTAGTGGGGCGAGGGACTGGGGTCCGCCTATGGTCCCAGCAAGCCGAGGACAGTGCCCGTGCGGGGGGGGGGGGGGGTCGAAAACTCCGACATGGTTTTAGAAATGGGAGACTTAACTTTATTTTTTTTAAGTTTTTGATAATGTTTTTGCCATGGAAACAATCTACAGCAAACTATTATGACTGACATGGGGAATAGATCTTGCCTTATTTTCATTTTGCCTGATGCCATGTCATTTTACACAATCAAATGAAAAGTGGTTTAGGTCAATAAGCTAAACTAACAACATTTCAAAGTATTGTCAATAAAAAGGGAAATAGTTTGAAAAGTCAGAAAACATGGATTAAGCACTCCCAAAAGGGCCCTCACATTAATGGAATTCAAGCCCCATCCCATCATAATGCAGGTATTATAATGTATATATAATTGTATTGTACTGTAATGTATATGTAATTGTTTTTTAAAGAATTGATTAAGTACAATTGCAAAATTTTTACCCCAATAAGGATATTATTACTTTAAGCAGGGACCTATATACTAAAGTATATAGGTCCCTGCTCTAAGTTAAGTAGAAATTTTACTTTTTTTTAATGTGCACGGAAATTACGATATTTTTAACTTTCAGTAGCAAAGGTTCTCAGTTTTAAATTTTATTGTCATGATGAATTCAGAAAAAAACATAAAACTATTCTGCACAAACACTTGACGTTACATATTTTTCTTATTTAAAAAAAAATAATGATCTCATGCCTTATAAATAGGATATGGGGTTATTTTTCTTTTCTTTTCTTTCTTTCTTTCTTTCTTTATTTTAAACAATGTTTGTCAGAGTTTACGGAGAAGCCGAGTGTCTCGTTGAACGAGCTTCTCCCTGTTACAAATTACAATTAAGGATCGGGATCGGCGTTTTCAATATTAGTTACTTCCGTTGGTGTATGAAACATCACATTTTATGATTTTTGTATTGTTTTGAAGAAGCCGGGTGTTTATACAGAAAACTGTAGTGAATCTTGTTGAATTAAGTTATTCAAATTAATAATGAAGATGAATATCACTTCTGCAGGTATGAATTTGTAACTTATACAAAACTGATATGTTCTTTAGGCCTATATTCCGAACAGTGTCGAAGCCGCGAACGACAAAGAGTTTTAAAAGTTAGACGTAATTATGAAGCAAAAATTTGTGTACATTTGTATATTAAATACTGTAAGTTATTGATAGATGTCGTTATGCTGAAGAAATAGTTTCTGTATTGATCGAGGTGAAGCTGAGTGTCACTCGGCCCCCCCCCCCCCTCCTCTACCAATTGATCTTTTCAATAAAATTTTAAAATTTGAGTTGTTAATGAAACACTATGATTTAAGCATAAGATTTTGTCCTTCTTGGAATAGGAAAACCAATTTAATGCTGCTAGGAACCCTTTTCATAATTTGAGAAAAATATCAAAAGTGATTCAGAGCTCCAGATAAGGTGCGTATATTTGCAGAAATACGCATTGAATTTTTACAAAAACGCATTGAAAATTAAAACTGGGCGTACAGTTACGCATTAGCAATCGTAGATAAGCATTACACCATGGAAGTACTGCGTACGGCTGGTTGAATAATAAAAGTACAACTTGTAGCTATCGATATGAATTGAGGTAAACTCAGTGTTTGATTTTTCTCAAAACAAAATACTGATTTTAAAGCGTTTTGTTAACCAGGAATATTCTAGTAATGGCGATGACGATTTCCATTTATGGAGAAAGAATCAACAATATAGGTTAAAGTCGATTTCTTTAAATAGAAAGACTATGCACTAGGCAGAGTCACATGTACTTTTAAGCACACAAAAGCTTGTGTCGTCTATGTAAGATGATATTGTAACAAGTGTAATACATAAGTAAAGAAAACATGTTACCTAGAAAACAAACGATAGTTGGAGGAAAAAAGTCTTAGGTCGAGAAATAAGTTTATACTGCAATGTTATCAAAGAGGACAAGAAAAAAAAAACAGTGAAGACCATATTATAACCATATTGAAAAAACTAGCTCTGTTTAATTTCAAGACCAATTAAATAAATAAATTGCTGTAGAGAGACATTACGCATAACATGTATTTGAATTTACCGATCAAGAGTTCTCTTAGATTCTCTAGAGTTCCCTGTTTAGTAGGACGAATACACACGGTTTGTACATGACGTTTTTTATGATGGGTTCATTGCCAATTTCTGATTTCTCTCAACTTGCCATATTAATGATGATTTTTTTTTCTCAGTTTACTCTTGTTACGATATCGTCTAAAATAAATGGAGGAAAAGTCTTTTGTGCCAATGGTTACTTTACCTACTGTATGAATGTTCCTTGTCAAAAAAAAAAAAAACATTTCTCAGTTTTATTAAAATGTCTTATTGGTATTTTCAAAAATTATTTAAATGAATGCAGAAACTGTCCTTTGTAGTTTTTTCCCTTTCCTCTCAACACTTATATTTCGATAACAAGCTCAAAATCAAAATTTATAGATGTCAAAACATTTATATATTAACAAAATACTCTTAAATCATTTTGCTAAAAATCAAAATCTGCATTGATTTAAAAATCAGGGAGTAAATACACTTTGAGGTAAAAAATTATCTGGAGCTCTGGTGATTTTTTAATTTACCTGAAAAAATTCAGGAACGCTGGATCTATTAGTGATGGGAATCAGTTACTTATAATTTCATAATCAGTGTTTGGTTTTCTGTAACCAAGTAATTATTGCTTATAATCCAAAAAAACAAAAAGTTGCATGATAAACTATCAAATGTCATTAGATAAACTTTTGTCATTGATGAGAAATAATGAAATAAGAAAGTAACTATTAAAGATCAAAGTAGCCTAGTGCACATTAAGAGTATACGGTTATTTCTATGGGTGACACTTTGCTCTCGGGTCTGTCAATCAGGGATGGGGTAATCGTAATCGAGTAATCGTAATCGATTGTAATGATTACTGTTTTTCAAGTAATCGACAGTAATCTGTAATCGAAGAGATTTTCGATTACTTGTAATCGTAATTTAATCGATTACAGCTAAAATTTTCAATGTAATTATAATTACTTTTTCGATTACTTTCGATTATTTTATACATAAATGGATGTTATTTTGGAGAATTAATTCCAGTCAATCACACATAAATATCAAATATAAACCACCTAGTGTAATGTTTGGATTTCCTAACTTTTCTTATCATAAGTTTAATAATGTTCTCAATGAAATTTGCATTATAGACCTACTGGTCTAGTTTTAAATAATTCAGAAGTATATTTCAACCAATTATTAATAAAATATACAGATTTTTCGTGTGCATTTTACATTTGACCCACTGTCCTCTTGCTGCATGTCCTTTTTCATATTTCAGAAGTTGAAAAACTTTGTCTTGTAATAGAAAATTATAAATAGCAAAAACAGATTTAAGTGCTGTATTAAATATAAATAATTTGGTAAATAAACTACATAGTACTCAAAAAAAAGATGGAAATACTTATTCATATCTGAAAATGTTTAAACAACTTCAAACTTGTGTTTTAGTAACTTTAAAATTTGCAAAATCATTCTCATGTTTTCATTCAAAATTGTAAGGTTGCTTTTATATCATTTAGGGGTTATAAGTGCCTGTAAGAGAGGGAGTAAGTGTCACTGTGTTTGCTTATCTTAATTGGCTGATTAATTGACTGAGACATATCCCTGATTGCAGATAATGAGGTGTAAACTGTGAACTACCTTGTGTTTAACTATCATTCCATTGAAGACAAACAATATTATTAAAAGAATTAATACCTCTCAAAACACTTATTTCAATACAGAATGAAACTGTGTTACATGTATTAGTTAAATTACTTAAAGACACATTTAATTTACATGTTAATTACTAAGAGTTCGTTCTAATTTACTTATTTTTTTGAAAAAGACACTTACAGGAATGTTTAATGTGTACTGTCAACATACGGACAGCCCAAATACTTCTAATGAAGTAATTCACAATAAAATATTAAATAATCTTTTCAACAAGTCAATAAATATGGAGGTACAGATCTAAGGTTGAAAGGAATAATTAATTCCTTGGCATATTTTATTGTAGGAATCATGTCTCCACTTTCCATGGTAGAAAATCCCTCATTTGGGCATTTAGTGAGAATGTTAGCCAGAATAAAACCTTAAAAGAATCTGCACTGAAACTGCAGGAACACATTCAAACTTCAGTGGATAACATCAACATTTACCATTTAAATATTGCTTTGATATTTGAAGGGATAAAAACTTGGAAGTAATCGATTATTAATCGATTACATCTTCCAAAGTAATCGATTACAATCGATTACAGGACAAAAATGAGTGTAATCGATTAATAATCGATTACACAAAATTCCTCTAAGTAATCGATTATTAATCGATTACATTTTTCAGTAATCGTGCCCATCCCTGCTGTCAATATATTTTTTTCAGAGAGCTACAGTTCTATAGCTAACTCTGATTTGAAGAGACTGACTTAGGGTTGTCTCTAAGAATTGAAATAGCAGGGGGCATTAAAAAAGTAGAAGGGGTTCTGTAGTTTCTCTCCTAAGAGGGGGTTGAGGGGGAATAACTGAATAATGGGGGGATTATGTCATATAGGCGGGGAAATTCCCCAGTCCCTGGGTCTTGGGGACAACCGTGCTGACTGCATTACATGCCAAGTCTTTAGAAGTCATGGTTATGCATAGTGTATTGTATAAAAACATTATGTTAATGAGAAGTACAGTTTAACTTCAGTATCTTGAACACCGATATCTCGAATATCATGGATATGTCAAAGTGCTTTTGAAGTCCCAACACAAGCCTTTATTTCTTAATAGGTATTTTACCTGGGATATCTCAATTCCTCAGATATCTTGAAGTATTTTCTCGGTCCCATCGAGTTTGAAATAATGAGTTTGACTGTACTCTTTCATTCCATTTTTAAAAGAGGTATGATAAATCTTGCCTTATTTTATTCCAGCTGGAGTGATTTCTCTATTAGATGAGCCTGAACCACAGTTAAAGGTACATTTTGTATACATGTAGAGTTTGAAATAAATCTAGCATGGTACTACATAGATAAAGGTTGTTTTTTGTAATTTTGCTCTGTAACTGAATTTGAAATTGAACAGGACAAATGAATGAAATTTTCATGCTCAATAAAGTGGAAAAGTAGTTGCTTCTTAAAACAGAAAATTACTTCTTCTTCATAGTGTTCTTGTCAATTACTCATATTTACATGTATATCAATTTTTATAGGCTTTTGCCCTGGAAAAATTGAACAACATTGTAGATGTATTTTGGGCAGAAATATCTGAAAATGTGGACAAAATGTAAGTACAAAAATTTTGATAACATTAAAAATCGGTATTATATCTTGCATATTAATAAATGAAGAAACTTTTAACAATGTAAAGAATTTTTTTTTTTTAGAGAAGTATTGTATGAAGACTCTGCATTTAAAAACAGTGAACTGGCAGCCCTTGTAGCCTCCAAGGTATGATTAAATAAACGTTATTTGTTAATTCTATTATGGTTATAGCAAAGATCAAAGAAATGCCACATCCATTAAATCACAAACATCTTCAACAAATTATCAATAACATTTAAATCAGTTTTCTCTAATTCTGATCGCTCTTACTAGGCAAAGAATGGAGGGCTCTTTTAATTGAGACACAAATTAGTGGAGAAAAAAGTTTACTTGGGATTCGGATTATGTTGTACTTTTTCTAATGCGTGAAGTGCAAATGATTTAATTGTGCAGGCACTTACATTGATGTATAGACATCTACTTCTCCGTTTCTCTATATAGGTGTTTAAAGATTCACTGTAGCAGAATAGAAATAATTCTCTTGTTGGTGAAATTGTTGGAGAATATACCCCTCAGTCTCAAGATTTTGTTCACAGATAAAATCCTTGCCCTTTGATCAGTTTTTATTTGCCAACAAAGTCTCGTGACCGTCAGGGTGACTGTATATTCTCCAACAATGGCGAAGACGCAAGAATTATTTCTTCAATAAAATAGACATCTGCTTGCATACTTGTATCGGTGTACATGTATATAGAAAATATATCTAGATGGACTATTGTTTTAGCATGTCTATTCTGCTGTGATTTTACAGTAATATATGATGAAACAAACATGTACCTGCATGTATAAACATGATAAAGAACTTTTTTCCTTTTTGATTTGGTTTTTTTTTCCACTCAGTAATCCATGTAAGTGAGTATTTCATCCTTAATAGTTTTTGAAATGTATCATATTTAGATTTTCACTTTTTTAGAATATCACCTGTGAAAAAATTATCAGATTTCCTTTTTCACAGGTTTATTATCATTTGGGAGCTTTTGAAGAATCCTTGACCTTTGCCCTGGGTGCAGGCTCCCTTTTCAATGTCAACGATACATCAGAATATGTGGAAACTATCATAGGTAATTTTAAGACATATTCCGCAATCAAACCATTGTCTATCAGACATTACTCTGTCTATCAGACATTACTCTTTCCTTTAAACACTAGGTGCAATACATTTATTTGACTTTTCCCTTTATTATACATTTAATGTTTTTACATTTTAACCAGTGAACATTTTTCAAGATATAAACTTAAAAATGGTATGTTTAAGACCACTCAAAATTTGAAAGTGTGAAGTTGAAATATTTATATATGTACATAAATCTTATGGATCTCTCTGATTTTCTCCAAGCCAAGTGCATAGACTTCTACACCAAGCAGCGAGTCAAAAATAGTGATGGCCGAGAGGAGCAGAAGAAGGAGATTGATCCACGACTGGAGGCCATTGTCAACAGAATGTTTCAGAGGTGCTTTGATGACAAACAGTACAAACAGGTACACCCCAGTACAGATTTTTTCAGAATGCAAGAATTTTTTAGAAGTGTCAAAGACCATTCCTCTGACTTACTGTGGAATCATTATTTAATTTTCTAGTGGTCAATATTTGTGTGCAGTCAAAATTACACTGATTAGTTGGCATATATGATGAAATTTCATTGGTAAATTGTACATAACCAAATGATTCAATGAATGGAAGTTGTTGTTTGGGTCTACTCAGAAGATAACAAGTTTAATTTAGTTTTGTGCAGAAGTTAGTGCACAGTAGGCATATTTTTTTGACACCCCTCTTATTAGGCTGTGAGAAATGGAATATTTCAAGTCTCTCCTAAATAATAGACCTCTTCTTTCAATTTTTTTTTTCTGATCTGTAATGTAGTGGCATTTCGATATGAATAAATGGACACATTTTTTGATCCATTATCTGGTTACCTTTCATCAGATTAGGTTTCATAAGATTTTTCATAAGATGTACCGTAATCCGGTTATGTCTTGATATGGTTAAATGTACACATTTTTGCATGTAATCTGGTTACATTTTGATGTGATTAAAGGGACATAGCTCTTTAAGGAAAAAAGTATTGAAAAAAGTCATACAATTGTACATGTACCTTTGTTTTTGAATATACTGTATATAAGCAGAAATTTTAGCGAAGATTCATTTTTGGCATTATTAAGAAGGTTTTGAGATTGCTAAAATTAAATATCGCTAACAATTTATACCGTATTAGTTGTTATAGCTGTCTTTCTTGACATTATAAAATTGCTAAAATTACATCTCGCTAAAAATATACCAACTTTTTTTTGATAAATCCCTAAATTTGCGTCTAGCTAAAACTTCCACTTATACGGTACTTGAGAGATATAGCTTGTTGACGTAACAACGTTACATCTTTTTTTTTATTGCAGGCTGTTGGTATATCACTGGAAACCAGAAGAATTGATATCTTTGAGAAAGCTATCTTAGAAAGTGTATGTAACAATCATATGACCTCTTCCTACACATAAGGAGTACAATTATTACATGGAAAAACTATCAAATATCTTTTTTATAAAATATGAATTTAATTGATTTCAAGTACGATATTTACGGTTAAGAGAGTAAAATTTGACACACAATCATATTTACAGTAAAGCACAGTTATCTACCAAACATGATTAAGTGAATCCATGATTACAGTGAATTAACTTCAGTTTCTAACTGTGTTATGAATTTGTCTGATATAACAAATTACACATATAATGAATCAAAATTGTTCATCCTTGGCACTCCACTCTAAGTGTGTTTTACTGTACATACTTCGTATAACTTAGCGAATCACAGTTGTTCATCCCTGGCACTCCACTCTAAGTGTGTTTTACTGTACATACTTCGTATAACTTAGCGAATCACAATTGTTCATCCCTGGCACTTCTCTATATGTTTTACTGTACATACTTTTTCTATACCCTTTCTTTACAGGAAGACGTAAATGCAATGTTGCTGTACAGTCTAAATGTCTGCATGTCCCTGATTCAAAACCGTCACTTCCGGAACACAGTTCTTCTGCTGTTAACAAAACTATACATGGGGCTGGAGACCCCTGATTACATCAATGTGTGTCAGGTAGGTCTATATCCCCACCCCCTCTCACTGTACCCCCTCCCCTTTTGTAGCCCCATCCTTTTGGTACCATTCGTGGTTACCAATGGGGACAGACATATAGTTAGATTACAGATTAGGGTTAATATTCACTACTCTCTAGATTTTTCAGAGAAATCTCAGATATTTTTTTTCTCAGCTGAGTCTGAAAAAAATGTTGATAGCACACATATTTGGAAATGATTTCAGATTTAAGAATTAACTCGAAGACAAGTCTAAGTTTGAGAAAAAAAAAATTCTGTTTGGTGAGATTTTCTGAGAAATCTCAGATTTGAGAAAATCTCCACGTGTGTCACAATTTGTCATCAAGTGAAAGAAGTCTTTAATGTGTACACCCTTCTTTTGCTTTCCCTCCCGATCAATCTCATGTACAATGTAGATCATCTTTGTCAAATGCTTTATATCTAGTATTATTATCTAGTCAGAGGTCAAATACTGTAGATCACCAAATTTTCGCAAGATAGTAAAACATTTATTGAATTTATAAGCGAGACAAAATTTTCACAAATTGATAACGCAATTATACGGAAGGATGACAGTTTCCCGAGCAGACTGCCTAGCTAAATTACACAAAAATATTTACGTTTCCAATGTCTTTGTCCGAGATAAAATTTCAAATAGTAAAAATACTTTATTTCTACATAAATCTACTGGTTCATCAAAAGGCGTGGTGAAAAAAAATCACTTGCGGGGCGGGACAAATAGAGACAGAATCGGGGCTTGTAGCACGTGACTTTGCAGAATCAAGAGCATGTGAATATAAGGAATAACTGTCAGATTTTTTGATTTCATGACGATGATCAATCGATTGGCTTGCGTGATAATTTTATGCATAAACGCCTTCGGCGTCTATGCAAATTATCACGCAAGCCAATCGATTGATCACATCATGAAACCCAAAAATTAGACAGTTATTCCTTAAATAAAGTCCTTGCATATGAAAAAGGGATCTAGGTAGGCAGATCATCTTTGTGTGGAAAACATTGTAACTATTCGTATTAGAAATCTATGTAGGTATTATCTCTTCCCCCCTCCCCCCCCAACCCCCAACCCCCAACTGATAGTACCGTGTGTCCTGATAAACAGGGGATCACAGACCCCAGATTTCATCAGTGTATGTCATGTCTAAGTACATCTTCTTGTAACTCGGCCCCTGTAGTCCTGCCCACCAAGTCGTAAAAGCAAAATAAACTCTAAATTACTTTTGAGTATTAGACAATTACTGATATTTTAGACTATGTTGGAATTTTAAATGCTAAATCACAGCATTTTCTTTTTTTAGTGCTACATTTTTCTGGACGATGCTCAGGCTGTGGCTGACATCTTGGAAAAGCTACTGAAGGGAACAGAGGTATGGCTTAGCTAGGGTTTATAGGGTTAGGCCATTCTGTTTTTTTTTTCCTGTTAAGTGGCCACCTATCATTTAAATACTAACTTACCTATTCTTAAAAAACATGCCAGCTAGTAATATTTGATTTATTTCTGAATTTCTTTCATAGAAATAAATATAGATGTATAGTAAGAAGTAAAATCTAGGACCGAGCTACAACAATTCCTTCAGAAATGAACTCGATTCAAATGTAATGAACAAAAAAAATAATATGTCATACCTTTGCTGCTGATGTGTTTATTTTACCTTTTTGGGTGTCCAAAACCAAGGCACAAACTGATGTTTAACAGAGGAAAAAAAATTTGAATGGCCATATTGAGAAATGATACATGTTTACTGTTAAAATCTCTGACTGTGTTGGCTACATTGAATTTCAGACAAATGAAGTTCCGTCAAAGAATGTTTCAAATTGATGTCCCTCTTACGATTTATCTAATGGAGTCATGCTGAATTTGTTATACATGTACATGTACTGTGTTGGAATTCTAATCTTGCTTTATGGTGTCAATCCTTGGAGACATGTGCAGTTTTAAATTCTTTTTTTTTTTTTAAATCTTCAGGACAATGCTTTGATGGCATACCAGATTGCCTTTGACATGTATGACAGTGCCACACAACAGTTTCTCCTACGAGTACAGAACGCCCTCAGATCAACTGTCCCCCTCCCCGAGACTGACCCCAAAAAATCAAGTGATGGAAAGGAGGAATCAAGCCAGGAGGAGGCAAAGGAAAAGTAGGTGTTAGATCTTCAGTGCTTCTGTCCCATAAGCATAGAATTTTGATAGAAATAAGTTCAGGCTTGGTATTTGTTGAGCATAGTAATTATTTTCTTTGATTATTAACTTGCTTTATATTTTTTTTAGAATGGACACAGAAACATCTGATACAACTCCATCACAGACACCCACTGTACCCCCCTCAAAACCACAGGTCAGATTTTACTACCTCCATCCTATCAAGAGCTGTATGCCCCCTCAGAATTATAGGGCAGATATAAAGCACAGCTATAATGTCTAATGCATCCTTGTTTCCTGTTGAATACATTTTAACTACAAAATATCATTAAAACATTTTTTTTAATTCCTTAGTTTGAATTTTCCAGTGTGTTTGTTATTCATTGTAATTTAGTTATCTTTTTCAAATTTAAAAGTTATGTTACGTTTTGATATAAATGACATTCTGTACATTTACGCAGAATCATGTAGATTTAGCAATGATCTTACCCAAGCTCAATTAACTTCTCAAAGATGCCAAAGGGGCTTGGGATTCACCTACAAACACAGTCTATAAAATTGATTAAGCAGCTTGCAGTCAAAACATGGGTGTGAAAGGTGTGAAACTTTGACGACGTCGAGATACCCGGAGTCGTCCGTGTGTGACAAGCGACCCTATCTGACAAACAATTAGGTTCAGTAGAGCAGAAAATTGCCAATGTCGACATATGCCTGGTAAATTTTGCTCTTGGGACTGTGAATATACGTCGAGATAACCCGGGTTGTCGACATTACCGAGGTTGACATATCAGAGTTTTTGCAAATCATTAATATAGTAAATACTGCCGGGACCGAGGAAGGATGTCGACATATCCCAGGTTGTCGAAATATCCGATGTCGAGGTACCGAAGTTTACCTGTAGTATGGTAGATCAAAAATTCTGTGGTACTTACATGTAATTGATCATTGAGTGAGGAATTATTAGAAGTCTTTAATTATTTGTTGCAGACAGAAGAGGAGAAGACTTTAGCTGACAGAATGAAGAAGCTTCACACGATTCTGGGGGGAGAGATCACGATTGGATTACATCTACAGTTCCTTATTAGGAACAACAAATCAGATATACTTATACTCAAAAATACAAAGGTAGGTAAATCAGACATACATGTATGGCGGACAATAGACAAATTAAGACATTAGATAAGGTGGGAGAAATAACTCAGATATAATTATACTCTAAAATACATAGGTCGGAGAAAACAGTTCTATTACTTATGTCTCAGATATTTTTATAGAAATAATTATCAGAAATTTTTCTTCTTGGACAGAAAATTTCTTTCTCGGAAACAATTTTAAAAATAATTGATATTTTATAGATTATATATAATTCATGATAATTGAAGATTTAATGACTTTAGACTTATTTCTTAGATTAAAAAAAAAAGAAGCAGAAAAAATGTGCACATGATTAAAAAAACTAGCAAGGAATGGTAATGGAAGATTTTATGATTTTATTTAATGAAAGACTTTTTGGTCACAGGAGGCTGTGAGAAATTCTGTATGTCATTCAGCTACAGTGATAGCCAACTCTTTTATGCACTGTGGAACAACATGTGATCAATTTTTAAGGTAAGCTGATCTTTGAACAGACAATTTTTTTTTTGAATTAGAAAAGCTTATTGATTTATCTCCCCTGTAGAATTGGTGCCTTTTTGTTTGAATTAATTCTTTCTAATTCATATGGTGCAGTTAAACTTTAGCCATCCAAATGTTGTGTATTTGGATATATTTCTTTATTTTTTAGTCTCTTTCAGTAAATTCAGTTCGTAAGAATGTCTAATCTGACAAATTTCTTTGAAGCCAATGATGTCCAGATCGGACATCTTTGACTGTGTAATGGTATTATCTCAACTCTAAGAGAAATGATAGTGTACAGATCTGTACAATATTTTCAGTCTTACAATGTTCTGTCATTTTATTTCTTATGCAAATCATCTTACTTTGCATTTTTTCAGAGATAATTTGGAATGGTTAGCTAGAGCTGCAAACTGGGCTAAATTCTCAGCTACTGCTAGTTTAGGTGTTATACATAAAGTAAGTATGGGTCATTACCACTTACCATGTCCATGCTAATAAATATTTTTTAAGTTTTTGAAAGAAATGTGAATTTTCAAGAACTAAAAATCACTGTTTCAACTATAATTAATATTAATGATTATTTTTTTAATTTCTGCAGGGTCACGAGAAAGAAGCTTTGAATCTCATGTCCACATACTTACCTAAAGATTCAGGCCCGGGGTCGGCTTATTCTGAGGGAGGGGGACTATATGCTTTAGGTAAGAGATGATTATTGTCTTTCATTGCTACTGAATATCACATGTTAAATATTGTTACCCTGAAATTTAAGTTTACAGGGAATTGGGGTTTGGGGGGGGGGGGGTAGAAAATTGAGTAAAATTTTTACTTTCTGCTACATGGGACACCATTCAAACTCATTTGTTTAGCGTTATGAAGAGCTACATGTATGTCTGGATTTAGTAAAAAGTTCTACTTTCTACTACATGGGACCCCATTCAAGCTCATTTGATTGGCATTATGAAGAGATACATGTCTGAATATATTATATCTGATTATTTTTGGTAAAGTTTTTAAAATGAATAAACAACTGAAGGCTCTTTGTCATAATGTTCTTGTTATCACACTGGCATAAATAAACCTCAAAACAACTTTTCCTTCATATGTGACTAACCATCATGAATTCAACTTTGAAATGATGCTTTTATAAGTTGTTCCTGACTGATTATAATAACTGTCTTAAATTTCACACAAATAATTAATTGATACCAAATGTAGGTTTTCCATGCCACATTTAATGTTTGGAGTGGTGCTCTGTTTAATTTGTTGGAGTCTGGTAATTCTAATGAGTGTTGTTGCCTTTGGGTTTCTTGAAAAAAATATGATTAATATCTGGAAAAATATATGATTAATGTCTGGAAAAATCAGTGGTTTTAATTTTTTAAGAATATTTACCAAACAGGATTGCCTGAAAGTACACTGAACATGATATATCTTGACAAGTCTTGAAGAAACAAATAAACCATAGTGTTAAAAATTCCTTGAATTTGTCTTGTAGTTGGCAAACATTCTCTCTGTCCAACAGCAAATTAAACATGAGATTCAGAAAAACAGATATAATCTAAATAACATGAGAATGCTCTTCATGTAAATGCTATTTTCACTTGAAAAACAAAAATTTGTAAGATTTGAAACGTATCCATCATCCTGAAATTAACTGTCAGGATTGAATTTGTTCCTGTTTTGAGGTAAACAAAATTAATTCTTATCCTAGCTCATGTTAATGTCTTAATCCTTTAATAAGGTATTCATATGTGCATTTTGAATTTCAAAGATTAATATGAATTTTTAAGTTTGAAACTGTGCAGAGATATTGATTATTATACATGGCATAAATTGTTATAATTTCTCCTCCAGCAAAAAAATTTTTAGTCGTATAAGTCATCAGAAACTTACTTGAACCATGGATAGAACATGAAAAGCCCCCCCCCCCCCCCCCCCCCAGCATCGTCTGACTTATTTCTATCAGTTGACCACAATCTGTGCTACAGGGACACAACTCTTCCAGTTTTATTGAAAAATGGAAAGAGTATTAACATGATTCAAATTAAAAATAACTTGGATAACCTTTCTTATAAAATAAAGATAAATCTTTCTTCATAGAAAATGTCTTAGCTACCTTAGAAAATATTTTAATGTGGCCAAAGTACAAGTATGTTCAATTTACAGATGACAATTATGATTTGATATTTTCATCTTAATCATGAATTTTGTGTGTTTGCATTATTAGAAAAAATTCCAGTTTCTCAGATAAAGAGCTGCATGCATCTGAAGATGCCAACATATTTTCATAATTCTCAAATTGGAAATCAACCTCTCATTCTTGAATTTCAAGAATTTCATTGATTTAATTAGAGATGTTTTAATTACTTGCAGGTTTAATACATGCTAACCATGGAGGAGAAATAACAGACTATCTCCTCAATCAATTAAAAGATGCCTCAACAGATGTAAGTTTCTAAAACCAAGGAGTTCCAACATGAATATATTAAGTTGATATCGATAATACATAATACTGGAAACACTTTTGAGTGTGATAATTAAGATTTGTCGTTATCAGTCCGATTAATTTATGGGGATAACTTATTACAAAGTGGTTATAAACCAATTTTATTTTGCTTTGATTTTTTTGTAGTTCATTAAATGAAATTGATTATGTCTGTCTGTAAAAAAACTAGACATATGTACATCACTGATAGAATGAACTTTCAAACCATTATTTTTTGTTGTATTTTGTTATAAAAAAAAAGTTGTTCCCTGCTAATTTAGCCTCATGGAACCTTTAATTGATTTTTAATTCAAAGAAAAGTAAATGACTTTCCAAAATTAATTGAAGACTTGAAGTAATTTTTTTTAATGCCATTTTCTAATATACAGGTAAACTTCGTTATTTCGACATCGACGGGACCATCGGAAAATGTCGAGATATCCGAGGTGTCGAGATATCAGAGTTGAGACTTGACGTCCAAGATTTCACTGCATAGCAAAACAGACAAGCTTATTATATGTGCATGACTTCAATATAGATTTTGTGCAAACATATTTCAGAATTCCCTCTATTTTTATTAAAAATCTAAGAAGTTATTTTAAAAATCTTGTTTATAAAACGTGTTCTTCATCGAAATCTTTCTAAATTCACAAAGTTTCAGCACAAAGTTACAGCATTCGGCAGTGATTCGCGTGTAACTTGCCTTTTTGTCCGAACAGGATACGACATGCGCTCTATAAACTTCGAACTGTATGAAGTCGATATCCGATATATGGAAAAAATTAAATGCAGATTATTTTTTTTCTTATTTCATTCAGGAAGAATGTACATTAAAATTAATTTTTTTTAAGAGATTTGTGTATCTAAACTAACGTAGTGATGTTACAGATGCATGAATTACGGCTGATTCGGTCAATTGTGTTGTTAATTGGATTGTTTCCTGTTGAATGCATTTTAACTACAAATTATTAAAACATCTTTTAATTCCTTAGTTTGAATTATTCAGTGTGTTTGTTATTCATTGTAATTTAGTTACCTTTTTTCAAATTTAAAAGTTATGTTAGGTTTCGATATAAATAACCATCTGTACTTTTACGTAGAATTGTGTAGATTTTGCAATATTACCTAAGCTGAACATTAAGCAATTAACTTCTCAAAGATGCCGAGGGGGCTTCGGATTCACCTACAAACACAGTATATAGAATTAATTAAGCAGCGTGCAGTCAAAACATGGGTGTGAAAGGTATGAAATATTAATTTTGATGACGTCGAGATACCCGGAGCAACCCTATCTGACAAACAGTTAGGTTCAGTAGAGCAGAAAATTGCCGATGTCGACATATACCAGGTAAATTTTGCTCTTGGGACTGTGAATATACGTCGAGATAACCCGGGTTGTCAACATAACCGAGGTCGACATATCAGAGTTTTTGCAAATCATTTATATAGTAAATACTGCCGGGACCGCAGAAGGACGTCGACAAATCCCAGGTTGTTAACATATCCGATGTCGAGATACCGAAGTTTACCTGTAAATGCTACAAGTACCTTCTGTTGCTTTTATCACTACTATTGATAAGTTACAAAAAGATTACCAGTTTATTTATTTATTTTTTTTATTTTATTATTTAAATTTTTTAGGCGCAAGTCCTTATATTACAACAATTTTATTTCAGGAAATGAATGCTAATTCAATATTTGATATGTTATAATTTCAGATGGTCCGACATGGTGGTTGTCTTGGTTTGGGCTTGGCTGCCATGGGAACAGCTAGACAAGGTATCAGCAATTTTTTCTTATGTCACTGTCATTTTGTCTCACATCACTGTCATTTTGTCTCGCATCACTGTCATTTTATCTCGCATCACTGTCATTTTATCTCGCATCAATGTCATTTTATCTCGCATCACTGTCATTTTGTCTCATGACACTGTCATTTTTTGTCTCATGTCACTGTCATTTTTGTCTCATGTCACTGTCATTTTGTCTCGCATCACTGTCATTTTGTATCTCGTCACTGTGACAGTCATTTTTCTCAAGTCATTGTCGTTTTGTCTCATGTCGCTATCATTTTGTCTCAAGTCATTTTCATTTTTGTCTCATTTCACTGTCATTTTATGTCATATATGTACTAAGATATGGTCAGATCTTGTTATGTCAATCTTGAGAGGACCAAGGAAAACTTTGAGATATCCAAAGATTCAAGATATTGAGATTAAATTACTTAAAGAAAAAGTTGTTTAGACATCCAACACACATAGAAATATCCATGGTATTTGAGATACCAAAGTTCAACTGTATATATAAATCATCCATTTGGCAAATAATTTCAAAATTAGGAGACGTCTAAAGAAATGATATGCAGGAATATTGAATTAAGATGTATTTTGATGTTAATATGCATAAGAAAAAGAGTTTCGCTGAAAATATATGAGAAATTCAGGATTTAAGTAACATGCCGGTCATTTTCTGTTTTAATTTAATTAATTGGTGACTGGTAATCTATTAGCTTAGTGGTAGGGCATTCACTTTGTGATTGGAAGCTTTCCGGGTTTGATTCAAATTCCTGGCACCATATGGGTAATGACTGTTCCTTCTCCAGATGCCCAGTATTAGAAGTGAAAGTCACAGATCTTTCAGATGAAACCTTAAAAACTGAGGTCCTGTCACATTAGTCAAGGGCATGATAAAGAGTCTTCACTGCTCAATGGTCGTGAGTGCTGATAAAAGGTTTAAATTTGAAGCCCTTCACAGGCATATCTTACCACATATGGTGACATCTGTATATAAATGAAAAATTTTTGAATGGGACATAAAACAACATACAATCAACCAATAATTAAGTGGTGGGCAGTTGTACATGATACACTGTATACTAGTGTATAACAGATAATAGGAGAACTACCGGTATTGTAGATCATTAAGCTGGGTGAACAAGTAGTTTTATATGCTTACAAAGCAAACAATATTTTTCCAGATGAACACGTGTCAAGTAAAAAAATGTCATAACACTCAATGCCTTTCTTTAAATTACATAACTTCTCATACTGGCATCCAAATGGAATGCAATGACAACTAGAAACAATGAACTATAGCTGTTGGGGCAATGATTTCTACTTAGGACTCAGTAAGTGTAGCATCTAATTTTGTTGCCTGAAAGGAAGCTGAAGAGACATACGCAAAGGGCGTACAAGTTTGTTAGGTACAAAACAAGAACAAACTTAGTAATTGATAACAATGCACAATGAGATTTATTATTATATATTAGCAAATTTACAATTTTCGAGGCATCACTCATGTTTTGAAATGATACAAAAGGTCTGCTAGTTCCCTACTTTCTGCCTGCCCCGGTCTTCAATCGCTCGTAATTCATATACTTTAAAATAAGATTTATAGCTTTTCTTAGAAGTAACACTTAAAAATAAATGACTTATTTTATGTTGAAAACATCACACAGACAAGGTACTTAATCTCTCTTGACAAAGAAAACGGAGCTGAAATCTAATTTTATCCTGTTCTAAATGATCATTATAGAAAGTGTTTATTTTCAATTTGATAATAAAAATTCATGTTGAACCATTCTAGATAATTCTAAAAGAAACAAGGCCACTTGTTGGGTCCTATCAACCTATTTTTTTTTTTATGAGATTTAAGATGTGCTGATGGCTGAAATGTAAATGACTTATTGCTATTTTTATGATATCTAGGATATGGGTTAAGTGTCCCTGTATGTTTGTAGAAAAAAACGTTATGCAATCTTAATCAAAAAGAAAAATATGACCTATAAAGATCCAGATATAAGATGCAATTTCCACCCATAATTTCAGATTTTAGATTTTCACTTAACTTCAAAGAGTTTGATTTATTTATTATGAATATTTCTATATATTCTAAAGTATGGTTTCTGATGTTTTATTACTCAGTATTCAGAATTGAGGAAAGGGATAAAATGTGTTACCACATTAAAAAGTGACCAAAGTTTTCAGATTAATGCCATGCAATCTGAAGCCAAATATTCACCCTGTGTAATTATGTATTCAATGTAAGAGGTGAAGTTAACGAACAGTGATTAATCTCATAAATGCAGTAAACAAAAGAGTCAATCGTGAACAGGGCAGAAACAGGGACCCTTGGAAACACCAGAGATGGGATCAGGTGCCTAGGAGGAGTAAACATCCCCAGCAGACAGGTTACAACCGCTGTGTACTCTGTATATTGATCAGGTAGACTGAGTATTCCATAGTTAAATTTAGTACAAAAGCAATGACCTGATAAATGGTATGAAACGTGTCAGATAAAATACAACCCAACGACTGGTTGTATTTACAAACAAGGTCATCATAATGACCAATGTTTTGGGGTATCGCAGAATCACATTATCAATCTTTGTGTTTCACTTTGTGTCTGTAAACAAGAAACATTGACGCTAAAATTTCAAGAATGATTGCTTATGACTATATTTAATACCCCAAACCAGGGTCCTTTTTACAATGTCATGGAAATTTGACCTAAAGATTCTGTTTGACCTTAGAATATGGAATGGAAATGGATTTCTGTTATTTAGATCATGTAAGGGTTAAAAGAATTTACAACTGTAAAAATGGCAGTTTTTTCAGGTATCTACTGTTTTGAGAGTAGCAAGCCAACATGGATTGGCCCAGTTAGAACAGGTCTAGTTGTATTCAGTGTTTGTTCACAATTTTGACCTAATTTTTATGACTTCTGACTTAAAAAAGACATATTAACTATGTTTATGTGCAAGATGGCTTATTTTTGTGTCCGGTCAAGATAAATCTTGCCAATCAGAGGTCATATCTGAATGTGTATTCTTAGGATTATGGCTGGCTGAACAATAACTTATTTTTTGAATATTTCAGATTAATTTGACAGAGCTTAATTTTGTTTAATTACTCAATGTTATTGCTTTGCTTGTATATACTTAGAGTTTAAATTTTTTATTTTGTAGATATTTATGAACAACTGAAGTTTAACCTTTACCAAGATGATGCTGTGACAGGTAAGACATTTCTGTTTGTCATTTTTGATTCAAAGGAATATTAGAATAGAAATTGGTGATGATCAAACAAAATGAAATAACAAATTTTCACAAGAAACCTTCATATCCTTGATCTGTTGACAAAACCTGCAGATACAGCAAACATGCTTACATTCAATTAACCCTTACCTGAAGTGATTTTCCTTCCATGTGATTTTAAAACATTTTGTGAACTTAACAGATATATTGAATTACGTTTATATATAATGAAGCAAAATTGTCTGCCCCTGGCACTTCTGTAGAAGGGTGTTTTACTGTACATGTTACAGGATTAGCACAAAAATTGGGAAGAAATTAGAGATTATTAACTAATATGTTCAATGTGTTGTTGTTTGTGTGTAGGTGAAGCTGCAGGAATAGCCATGGGACTAGTCATGTTAGGTACTAAACAGTCCACCGCCATTGAAGACATGGTGGCCGTAAGTTGTTGTTTTTCATCAAAGTACTGAAAGTACTGTAAAAAACACAGACAGAATCATGAATTATTTAAAAAAAAAAAAAATGTCTTTTTCCAAGTCAATTTCATTTTTCTTTTCTCTCTTAAATTTACAGAGAAAATTTTAAAATGTGAAAATGTGTCAGAAGTGCAGAAAATGTATCTTCCTTCATTAAACTTTTTCTTCTGCTTTAATATTTGACTGTTGTTTACATGGCTTTTTCTTTTTAATCCACATAATACAGTATGCCAAGGAGACACAACATGAGAAGATCTTGAGAGGCCTAGCCCTGGGTATTGCCCTTACCATGTATGGCCGGCTTGAAGAGGCAGATGCTCTCATTGACAGTCTGTGTATGGACAAGGACCCTATCTTAAGGTGGTCCGGCATGTTTACTATCGCCATGGCATACTGTGGCTCAGGAAGCAATCAGGCCATCCGTAAACTACTACACGTAGCTGTGAGTTCAGTGTCTCTTCTTAAATTATGGAAATTTATCACTGTGTTGCATTATTTGTCTATGCCTCTTGTTTTAACTTAGCAAAAGCTTCCATTGAAGTCAATAATTTTGTACACAACACTTATAAACAACATTATGGAGTTCCACATTAATGAGAACTACACAAACATTACAGATATTCTGTAAAGAAAATTATTAATTTACATGATCAGTCGAAATGCAGGTACAGTTCTTCTCAAAATGTAATCCGTAATTTGAATAAAATAATTAAGACCTGAAAGATGGGACTAATATATATATTGTTCTTATTCAGTATGTGTATATTTAATGTTTTTAAAAAAAAATTTATATTCATTAGAAAATGAAGTTATTGTAGTAAAGAAATTTTCTTTTTTTTGTTTTGCCTTACTAAGAGGTAAAAAAAAAAAAATAAATTTCATTAATATAACAATTAAATACAGTTCTTGTTTTAATTTGATCTAAAACTTGTTACACCATTTGAAAATATCCTTAATTTTAAATTTATAAAAAAAAAAAATATATATACAATTATAATCGATATTGATTGATTGTGTGTATCCAATTATTACCGATAATCAATTATGATATTGGTATATTCCCATCCCCTCCCCCCAACCCCCCACACCTTCCTCAACCCCTAATGTTTAGAATTTTAAATTACAAAGAACGCTGAAAATTGATTTTTTTTCCTGATAATTACATGTATCATGGTCAAGGCTTGAGTACCAGGATAATCCTTCATTTTGTAAGGTTTGGCTCTAATAAATAAGTTACTCCTGCTGTAACACTGATCTTTAACGGATTTATATCTCTATGTTGCGTAAGGACATAGTCAGATCCATAAACCGAAGGCCAAGCCAACTCATTTCCTCCCCTCTGCTGGCTTCTTGAGCCGTGTTTTCTATAATGGACAAGATAAATTGGTGTTTTTTTGAGAATATGCGCTACTAAGAGCTCGTATCATATGAAATCAATAGTGATGAGGATAAACAGGCCTTTTATATATGTATATCTCGTAAACGTACCCCATTTCCTTGAATATTCCCGGCGTAGTGATAAAATTGGAAGACGATAAATATGTAACTTTTATGGTAATTGATTCTAAAGTTACAGTCTTAATATTGTCTGATCTTTTATGTATGTGTGTCTGATCTTTAATATAAGTATGTGCTTTTGTAATGAAAAACAATTCTTAATAATGCATATGCTTTATTGACAATTTACGCATTTAATTAATAATCTTTTTTTTTTTTTGAAAAATAAATAATCATCATAATATTTTAATGCAATTTACGCAGTCGAGTTGACCCAAGTAACAGCTAAATTATCTGAAAACTTGTGGAATATAATCTTTTCTAACTTTCCCCTCTAATTACATCAATTCTTTACTTTTGTTCCAGTGTTACTTAATATAGCTTATGATTTAATAGACAAGGGTATAATAAATATTTATGATATTTTTACTTGATGAATAAAAAAGCAAAAACAGAATTTTTATATAAAAGGGAAAAAAAATATGGATGGACAAGCATAAAGAGAGTGTTCGGTGCATGTCAGTTGAGTGGAAACAGAGAAGACGTGACATTTATGATTTTCTAAGAACCCTGTGCTCCCTATAAATACTTCAGATGAAGTATAAGTCTTAGTGAAGAACACGACCTAGTACTATGTAGCTCTTAAGATATCATCTTAATCGTGCAGCAGTAACGGGCAAACCGTGTCATAAAATCAGAGAATTTGAAACAAACATGTCATCTCTAATTGGATTCTGCTGAAAATATTAGAATTACCATGATTGCAAAACAATCCCCCATGTTAAATTTTGCATGAGGTCTTCTTCCCTGAATGACAGTTTTGCTGAAATCGGCCATGAAATGTCAGACTCATAAAGAGACGTCTGGGATTTAATAATGGAGATTTTCAATTTTTCGCAGTTGTGTAATTCAATGATTTTGAGCTTTTAACCAGCAAAGTCTTTTATAAGTGAAACAAGGGTGTAATTATCAATGGGAAAAGGGAAATGTGCGATATTCTCTCCATATAAGGAAAATAATTTATTATGATTTTTTTTTCTATTAGCTTTAGACGTATTGTTCTCATGAAATTATTTTCCAGTATTGTTTATTTCATGTTTTCTACATTAGTTTCAGGATGTGAGGTTCTTACTTTTCCTGTTTATTGAAGTTAATTATTTTTCACAATGTCAGTTGCATAAGTTGTTATGAAACCAGTAAATCCTTGAAAGAACTTGATTATAAAAGTTTTAAAGGACTAGGTATGGTAACAGATGAATTTGGCACCTTGTTTGGTATAAGAATTAAAAGATGGTTAAAACTGCAGTAATTTGCAATTAAATGCTTCAAATGATGCTAATTTGATTTTAATTTAAAAAGTGCATCATGTATATGCCACAATAGGGTGACAAGAGGAGGCTTTTTCCCAGAATTTTCTCAATTCTGATGGAATTTTATCACATTTGTAGATAAAGTTTTTTCTTCAGGAAACTGAGAGTATAAGCTTGCTTATATGAAATTTTTATACACAAAATATATCTGATACTAGTGCATGAAATCAAGTAAATTAAATGGTAGATAAGAAACTTTTGCTCTATGTTTTTGAAAAAAAAAATGTGTCTAAAAATTGACAAAATGAATAAACATGAGAAAATTTGAAAATGGACCAATTTTATAACACTCCTTTGACCTTTGTGTATCCTATCGCTGAAACACAATGCTCATGACAAAAGGTTTTTCAATATGAACTAATGCACTTTCCCAGGGACATTTCAAATTTCCTACCTTACAAAATCACTGAAATATCTAAAAAGTTTCTGATGGATTCGACCCCTAGCTTGTAGCCATAACATGGTCAAGGCAGACCCATACCTTCCTTCTATACATCTGATGCCTCGCATTAACTTCAAATCATGGATCCACCCCCTGTTATTTACTGTAACCTAATTTGTAAACACAAATTGATATATGATATAAACTTAAAGAGGTTTTTTCTGATAATTTAAAAAAAAATGTGTATATAAATTGGGAAAGAACTTTTAAAAATCGAACTGTACAGCAACATTCCTGATTATCTTTGATATAAACACAAGTTTAAATAATATCTCAAAATTAAATCAAAGGTTATTCAAAAATAGTTCAATATATCTTAGAGAATTATTCAGATAAAAGTATCAACAGCGGAAAAAAGACAGAGCTTAAAAAATGGAGAGCCTATTTAGTGCAGGGCAGGTGATTGGGGAGTTGTCTGTATTTTTGAGGATCAATGAGACTGGCTGCGTGCTGAGAAGCGATGAACCCTCCCTTAATGTGGAGCTCTGGGTCTCTGACTAGAGATGTGTGCTGTCGGGCTTTTGGGATTGTATTGTCATGTTCTGTGATAAACTTCACACAAGACACAGCTTGAATTGATTAGAAAAAATTACAAATTTCATATTTGATATACTGTGTTTTTTTGCATGGGGTTACATTTTGGCATGATTTTGTATAGAGAAAAAATTGACAGGTTTTCTTGTTCACTGCGGTTTTTTTACATGCTTTAGGATAATAAATATGAAAGTGAGTTTATAATTGGAATGGATACATGTTAATTATGTTATAAACTACAGCAAATCAGTCGGAGGAATTTTTAACATTGTGATCAAAGGGACTTTGCCACCTTAAATGCTGCTGCATGCAATCGTTGTTGTTACTCAAATGGCATAAGCATTCACCGTTTTATTTCTTTGATTGTAATTAATTGCCTAACTGAAAGAATTTATGAAACTGTGAAAGTAACTTTAAATAACAACACATTTCTGTCCAAAATAGCAGAATTTTTTTTTTATATGAACAGCACCACAAAGTCAAACATATTCAGCCAACACATGATGTTGAAATGGTTTCAAATGATGGTTCAATAATGTACCTGTGTATAATTTTCCTGTCTGTTAGCTATGCAAAAAAAAAAAAAACAACAACAAAACAAAAAAACAACAAAACAAAACAAAACAAATAAAACAAAAAACAAAAATTGTGCACTCAATTTTTTCATAAATCTCATGTCTTCTTTAAATTCATTCAATTATAAAGACAATTTTGTACTTGAAGAAAAAGGAAGAAAAGAAAAAACTGGTATTTACTTAATATCTGAACTGGGTATGAAAAATATATTTTCTTGTAATCAGGCAATATTTAGTACAAGACTTTTAAGATAGCTAGGAAGTCGAAATTGCGGCACACATCATTTTTTGTAGATTTAAGAAAAAAAAAAAGATTAAAAAAAAAAACTTTCTTACTTGAAACATATTTTTTTCACAATTAAAAAGCAGGAAAAAAAATTATATTTATCTTTACAACCTAGATATTGTTTTGCAATGAATTTCATTGTCACAAAAATGTTTTGCATTGTGTTTTTATCTCTGAAATGCTTTTTTCAGGTCAGTGATGTCAATGATGACGTAAGGAGAGTGGCAGTAACCTCCCTTGGATTCCTCTTATTCAGGTTTGTTTGTATGTCTGTATGTATACTGGGAGAGCAGCTATACTCTTAATAATACTTCCTTCATTCCAGTTTATTTTTCATGTCTGAAAAATGAATATGTTTTATTCATTACTGTAATTATAATAGAATAAGAATTTAGAAAAAATTCTTGGGCTGTATCTAATTACTGTAAATCTACAGTGCTATGACAAAAGTATTTGCGATTTTTCAAAATGGCGCCCATAAACAAGGACGCGCTTCAGGGAACAAGTATCTAAAATGTATATATAACGCTGTAGATTGCCATACATTGAAAAAAGAAAGATGCATATAAAACCCCAAAATTACAAGGGAATATAGCACATGGTACCAAATAAAATCAAACGTACTTAATTTGTGCTGTTCAATGTCACTTCAGTGCCTGCAATGCGTAAGACTTGAATCATTTTTCCAAAATGATACTTTATCTGCATTTGGCAACCAAAAAAAAAAAAATTACAGTTGTCCATAATATGTTAATGTGTTTGTGACATTGTGTTGGAAGTTTCTTGAGAAGTAAAACTGAATTCAGAAAGAATCTAGGAAACCATCTTATCTTTGACATATTGCTTGGTTCACATGACTAGTTAGCTTCATTTAGACATTGTCATATTTAGCCCTCAGAACCTATTCAGACCTTATACTCAGTGTAAACAGTCTATAATGCCTCTAATTTCACAAGACAAATGACCATGTGGCTGAACTCTTCTGGTTACTGACCACTGTAATATGAACTGTCGAAGATGGTTCTCTCTGATCGTGACAGAATTAGCAGTTAGTTTGATCACTTGAAACATCAATCACTCTTTGTTTGCTATGTTAGCAAGACATTGTGACAGATTGGATCCCGGAATGGTCCCAGAGCTTGTATTCATATCTATTTATTATGGAAAGAGTTCACCATTGGTGTTGGATGAAGTTTATTTGTCTGTGTGGTTGTTTGTTTGATTAGATAGTTGATATTCATGGTTTTGTACCGACTTAAAATTAAGGTATACCTTTAAGCCTCTTTAATTGAAATCTTTGTGTTCCCAGGCAAATCTCAGCATTAATGAAATGTCCAGAATACTGAAAGATACATTTAATAATTTGTAGATGTAAAATTAATGTAAATTCTGTTTTCCATAAATATTGTCTGGAAGTCGAAGCCGATTCTTAGCATCAGGACTATCAAGGCTTAAATTATTGTATAAGGAAAGTTAGACTTATGTTATCATGGCATTTTATCTAAGAAAAAATTTCAAACAGAATTATTTTACCCATTTTCTTTCTGTCAGAAGTATATATGAGCAAAGTATCCTGTTTCATTGTCAAATCTATTGTAAACATACTTTTTTCAACAAGGTCATAATTCCGTGGAATCGCAATTTCTATTTAATCCGCTGGTAGGAAATTATGCAGATTTCTTGGATTATGAGTCTTAATTTGTCTTAAATGCACTTAAATACACTGTGAAAATTTTCCGTGGAAAATGTGTGACTGCTTTCATAGCATAAATTAATCCCACACAGAAAAAAATATGTTTACAGTAGTTTAGAATGACTAGTTTTTTAAAGTCAATAACAATTTAGTGACTTTCCTATGCTGAGCAGTAACTTAACCAACCCTGGTTAATCCTGGTTCTATTTCTGCCTCTTTTTCTCTACGTGTTTATCAATACCTTAATTGTAAAAATGACTGTATTCATTTGTCATTCCCTTTGACAGCAAAGCATGTTTGCATCAGAAGTAATCGAGAGACAATAATTTGATAACCAAAAAATTGGAAATCAATTTGCCCATCTTTGAAAGACAGTCCCCCTTATAAACGACTTCCTGCCAGATTATGAATGAACATGCTTAGTAGAAGCCAAGGGCTTTGTAAACGTCTTCTTCTTCTTAGGTTATCTGATGTCTGCAAAAGATTTTGGTGATTTACATCAAATTGGCATGAAGTAATCGGAGTTTCGATAATGGCGAACAAAAGTACAAATATTACATCATAATGTCAGATTTTTTTCCTCTCCATGAATGAAGGGATTAGATAAGATACAGCTTTTCTAGAAATCAATCTCTGACATACAAAAATATGAAGAGTATTTCTTTTTTAATTTCACTCTGGAATGGATGTATTGAACTCTTAATTGCATATTTTGATTACAGTGTTGGATTTTTATGGCTCTGAGGGGGGGTTATATTGATGTTTTTTTATTACCTGGCAGTCTGCTTTAACATGTTTAAAGTGCAAGTATTTGAAATCTTTTTGGATGTGAATCTTATGTAAAATGATTAAAGCATAGTTTTTACAAAGATGGATATTGTGAATTTCATGATATCATAAAAAATAGGGAAAAAGTATACCAGGTTCCATTACGTCTTTAGAAAATAAACTGGAAATGGGGGGGGGGGGATACAGCTGGGGGTCATAACAATTTTATCGCTTCTTCACAAAAGAGAGTAGAAAATAAACTGGAAATGGGGGGGGGGGGGGGGGGGGGGGAGGAATACACCCGGGGGTCTTAATGATTTTATCACTTCTTCACAAAAGAGAGTAGAAAATGAAGATTAGGTTTAGAAAGGATCTACTGGCAGTACTAGTTCTATACTGATGACATAAGTAGAAGGAGAGAATTCCTTTTGAGATACATGTATATGCTTACCTGGCAATAGAATCATTTTTTTTTTACTAGTGAATACTGTGGAATCAGCCTTGTTTGAGGGGACCCAATGTTCTTGGATTTTGTTGGTCACCTTTACCCAAGAATTTATATTCCCAGAAACAATAGCATTCATTGTCAGTGTATCAGTTTTTTGAATCTTCTGTATATATACTAGTTATCTACAAAATTACATCCCCATGAACCAGTGAAATTTTGAATGCATACGAACATTGACCCCCCACAAATTAAAATGATCCGCAATAGCTGCAGTGAAATGTCTATCAGAGTTTTGTATCAGACTTTTGCTTAATTAATGAGATTGACCAAAGAATAACCAAGTACAATAAGTGTTGATTAACCACAAATGTGCAAATTGCAATTTTCTGAGTTGGTGGTTTCATCAGATCAGTTTGATTTCATTTCCTGAGGATGTGTCCTTCTCTGAAAATTTCTATTACAATGTGCATTGTTCCATTCTTTTTTCTTGATAGGACGAAGCTCGGTGTATTGTTTTCACTGCTTATATTGTAAAAAAAAAAAAAAAAAAAAAAAAAAAATTAGACAAGGTGCTAGAGGCTTATGTAAAACAGCATAGTGAAGTGATCCTTACATGCTGATTGAGCAGTTAATTTGATAGTGTAGAGGAGGAAAATGAGAAGGAGGGATTCAAATTCTTAAAAATTTACAATCTCTGAATTTGGGAGGGGAATTGGGTTTTTCTGCTGGATTGCAAATTTCTTTATAAATACATAAAATGTAGTCTTAGGTGCTGTTAAACCATTAAGGTATCCCTTGTGAAAATAGACCAGGATATCCCAAGATTTCTTGAGATTTTCTCAAGATATCTTGGTTAAAAATCCCAGGAAGTCTCAGGATTATCCTGGTTCCTAACCTCAGGAATTGTCAGGATGGTATTGGAACAAGGATTTCTCAGGATTTCACAGGACATCCTGGTAAAGCAAAATATCCTGAGATATCTTGAGAATTCCTGGGACCACAATTATCCTGACCTCAGGAATATTTCACTTGTTTCATGGTAGTACAAAAATCCTGAGATGTCTTGAGATTTCCTGTGATCACAATCCTGTCATCATCCTGGCCTCAGGAATTTGACTTTGAAGTGCAAAAATCCTGAGATATCTTGAGATATTCCTGAGATCAACAACCCCCTTACTATCCTGAACTCTGGAATTTTGTCACTTCTTTCAAAAACAGATCTTTCAAAAACAGATTCAATTTCTCAAAATACATTTTAAATATCGACAATGTCCCTCTGTACACTAAAAAGACAAAGAGTTATTATTTAGGCAAATTCTTCTTTAATCAAATTTTTTTTTTCTTTGGAACTTTAAAAGTCTTTCATGATGTAATGAATGGTGGTAACATTGACCCCAGGGATGCATTCTGTTATTAGATCTGTAAAAGTAAAGATGCTTTATTATTCTAAAACAATCACATTAATGTTTATATTAATGGTCGAAATGAAAAAAAAAAAACAAAACAAAAAACATACAACTCTATGTATTTTTTTGCTTTTTACACTTACAACATCTACTTGTGTTAAAACATAACTTTACCTTCATTTAATGTTCTATTTTCCTCGACAAGGCCCCTTTTTTGGTGAAAACACCAATAAACTGGAAGTCATCAGCTTCTCTTTACTGAAAAATATAAATGACAGGTAGTTGACATATTTCTTCTTTTTAAACAAAAGACTAGTCAGCTTCTTCTTTAAAAGTGAATGAGAATGACATTGTTAATAGGTTCTATCAGCATTTTTTCAAGTTTCTCAAAAATATCTTTTAAATTTGACCCATTAAAAAATATCAATAAAAATATACCAAGTTTATTCCATGGGCAAGAGGTCTTCTCATCATCGCATCTTCCAAAATGTTACTGCTTTTGCTATTTGTTTCTGTGGGGGAAAGATAGATCATAGAGTTTACCTATAATATTATCTATTGCTCCTGAGTCCAAATACAATATTATTACAAATTATGCATGCACTAACCAGGTCTGGTACAATCACTAGATTTAGCTACGTAGCTTGAATTACCTACATAGCTTTATTTACCTACCTGAAGTAGCTTTATTTAGCTACTAAATCAAACTTATTTCATAAACTAGCATTTTTCCCAGAAAGTGCAGAAAATTGCACTTTGATGCAGTGATAATTTTCAACTTTTAACTCATCTGAAAACAATTCGTGAAAAATTCACTCTTGGAAATGTGTCTTTTTCTGCAAAATTGCAATCAAAGTTCTAAAAGTTTTGGGGCTTTAATTTGTGACCTAACTGTTACTTCTTGATTGAAATAACAAAGAAAACCAGTTCTGGTTAACATG